CATTCATTATTCACGATGTCAGGATATGTTGTCAGCACTCATTATTAGGGTGCTACAACACCGATCAAAATGTGTGTTCGACAAGGGGAAATGAGGCATAGGGTTCTGATCAAGTTACAGGTTGTGTTAGTGTAGCAGCACTAACTCTGTTACCTCGTCTCAGAATACCGATGACTTGTTTCGAGCAAGTGTAGCCGCACCCTTAGACACCCAGGGCTACCAATGTGAGGAATGCATCATAAGCCTTTATCAAACCTTTCATTCATGGCGTCAGTTTGTTTCGAGCAGGAGTTGTAAAAGTACTTTTTTTTTACCAAGTGTATGTATGAAGAGTGTGTGTGTGTGTGTGTGTGTGTGTGTGTGTGTGTGTGTGTTTTGTTTTACAGCTGTAAGCCTGTGTGTATAGAACACACACATACACACACACACACACACATTTACGTGAAAAAGAGTTAAATAAGGACATATCCACACATCCTTGGTAGAAGAGAGAGATGACAGATTTCATGAGGCCACGGTTGCCACCTTCAATCGGGTTTCTGTTACAAATGTGGCAACCCGGGCTATCTATGTTTACCAAGTGCATGGTGTATGACTGTAAGGGAGGAAGGTAGCAAAACAAGAAATGTAAATTAGGAAAGCGATGAAAAGAGGATGGTCAAAATTGGGTATTAGTCAAAATTGGTGAGTCATAGTTAAAAATCGGTACTTCATGAATGGTATGGTTAAAAATCAGGCGTCATAAAATGTATGGTATATAATACAAAATGACCATTATAAATACACTAAATCTAAAAATATTCGTATATACAAGCCAAAATAAATTATTAATTCAAATATATAAATGCTTCTAACTTTGTGTATCTGCACCATATATATATATATATATATATATATATATATATATATATATATATATATATATATATATATATATATATATATATATATATATAGGCAGCGATAATCATAAGGAAAGAAGAAACACGAAGTTCTGCCGCTTTCGTGTAATTCAATGAAAAGCGCTTGGGAATCCTGTGTTTTCTTTCCTTGTGGTTATCAGCATAGTGCCTAGATCATGCGCACCTACAGTGATTTACTTGCATATATATATATATATATATATATATATATATATATATATATATATATATATATATATATATATATATATATATATATATATATATATATATATATATATATATGACGCTGTCAAGAAGCAAATTGATTCGAGGAAGTTTCATTTTCTGACTTAAAAGTTTCTCTCCATTAAAAAAAATGCCTTCAGGAAATTTTATAATAATTCTCCATTTCTTTTCACAAGACAACTCACGATAACTCTTCTGAGGCTGTCAAGATGCTGAGTAAAGATGTTTTTATCGTGTGAGAGGCAGGAGGCAAAACACTGTGTTAACTAGTTTTGCGGCTTGTATGAACAATGCACGAGAGGTGGAAACTCGACACCTGTTAACCAATGTTCTACGACTTGTATAAAAAATGGATGAAGCAGAAGAAAACTGTACGAACTATTGTGTTTTATCGCCGGTAGTATCTGGGGGAACCGGTAGTTGTCGGACTACGAGGGCAGGCCTATGTTCGTGCCTATACTATTTCATCTACACTATATCATCTACACCGTAGATTCTACAGTCTACACTATCATTTACACTTCCATCATCTACACTATCATTTACACTTCATCATCTACACTATCATCTACAGTCTACACTTCATCATTTACACTTCATCATCTACACTATCATCTACACTACATCAACTAAAACTCCCCAATCTTGACGCGATTTTAATGAGGGTGTTCCATCTTTGTGGTAAGTAGCGCTCCCTCCCTTCCACGGTCCCCTTTATAGGTAATAGGCAGTAGGCAGCTACCAAACAGGGAGGAATACCGCCTGGGGAGATATTGGACGCATAATGTGCTGTCTAATGGTAGACTCTGCTGCCATATGGCATCACCAGACCAAAGTTTCAGGTTTCTGAGCTGACTGAGTTTCTGCCTCAATTACACACAATTGCAGGGTCTCAATTGTTTCTCTTACTTTGACAATATAACATAAACAGTATATCGTTTCTTACTCCTGATCTGTTTTATTTAGTCAAATTCTGTATTTATTTATGTAGCATTTTTTTGGTGACCTGTGCCCGGATTTATCCCCATAAAAAAGTTTTTAGGTTTCTTGGGTTCATATTGGAATTACTAAGCTGACTGACACATACACTTCTAACTACTACTACTACTACTACTTACTACTTTGCCGCCAGCCTCCAATAGCCACACCTTCGCGCCATTTTATTACCTTAAAATTAAATATCCTGATACATTAATAGCTATCCTAGCTGTGTTGAGATAGTTGAGCCGCAGATCTATGCGGCATTCAGTGACTGTTGCCTCATAGTCAATATCTGCAACTGTTATCGGCTTTAGGGCCGATGCTTTCGTTCCCCTGAGGCAGAGCAAAGCAGACCTAAGGAGAGAGAA